TATATATATCACATAATACACCACATTTAATATGTGAGAAGCTACAGAGAAAAAGGATAGGTGCGTATGGGATGTAAAAAAAACATTATTAAATCGTACGGAGGGAAATAAAGTTTCTCACACTTTTAGGCAACTTGTCTTTCCGGAGATGGAATTTTGTGGGACAAACCAATTAGTTGTAATAAACCTAATTTAAACATGTTTCTTTTTCAAATATAAATAAAAAAAATATGAAATGGGTATCTAATAAACGGAATATCAATATATTATTATAACATAAAAATATCTGAAAATTTCTGAATTTGTAATTTGTTATAATATTAATTTATGAATTTGTAGGTGCACCTATTTATTTCCGAACTTACATTTTTTAATATAGTAATTTCTAAATTTATTTAACAGTTTCATAATCGTCTATATCACTAATTCATTGAAGCAAAGTTTAAAAACTACTGTATTAAAAAATTTAAGTCTAGGAATTAATGTGTTAAAAATGTAAATTTAAGAAATACTGTGTTAAAAAATATAAATTCGGAAATAAATAGATGCACATACAAATTCAGAAATTAATATTATAAAAAATTACAAATTCAAAAATTTTCAGATATTTTTCTCCTATTAGAGATACATAATCTTAGGAAATAATAATTTAACATTTTAGTGTATATATTATAATATTTTGAAAATTGGGCCAAAAAAGAAATAGGCCTTGTTTTAGGTGAAGCCCATAAAATTTGAAGCCCATTTAAATTTGGTCGAATTTGGCCCGATATTACGCATTTGCCATCGACTAGGGTTTCTGGTATCGATATAAAACTCACTGAAGCTGTCATTAGGGTTTTCGCGGCTAGAAAGACGACTCGGAGAGAGAGAGGAGAAAATGGTGAAGTTCCTGAAGCAGAACAAGGCCGTGATCCTCCTTCAAGGTCGGTACGCCGGCAAGAAGGCCGTGATCATCCGCTCCTTCGATGACGGCAACCGCGAGAGGCCGTACGGTCACTGCCTCGTCGCCGGAATCAAGAAGTATCCGGCGAAGGTCATCCGCAAGGACTCGGCGAAGAAGACGGCGAAGAAATCTAGGGTTAAGTGCTTCGTCAAGCTCGTCAACTACCAGCACCTGATGCCCACTCGTTACACCCTCGACGTGGATCTGAAGGACGTCGTCACGATCGACGCGCTCCAGTCCAAGGACAAGAAGGTCACTGCTCTGAAGGAGGCCAAGGCCAGGATGGAGGAGCGTTTCAAGACCGGGAAGAACAGGTGGTTCTTCACCAAGCTCAGGTTCTGAGAAACAAAAACGGCTACTATGTGTTGTTTTTGGAATCGAACCGACCTTGGCTTTATTTTTATATTTTCGAATTTACAGCGCACTGTTTTAGTTCTAGAGATTCTATGGAGAGAATGTTGGCCCTTGTTTTGTTTCATGAAGACCTTTCTTATCTGGAATCTCTTCTGGATTTTTCTTTATGTTACTCATTTTGATTTTCGTTGAAACTGAATCGATTGGCAAATGTCTGGAATTTTGCAATGTTGAGTTTCTCATACTGTTGATGTCGGAACGACATTGAAATGGGCATTTCATCTATAACTTGTTTGATCAACAACTGATTCAGATCAGAAATCTGTAGCCCTAAAGGTTACAGATTGTAATTAACCAGCTGAAGCATAAACTAAAGCTCACTGTTTACCTTATTGTTGTAATGAAGAACACACTTTTTGTGAGGGATTACACGATCAGGGTTTCTACTGTTGGAATCTCACATCAGAGATGCTTTTGCTGCTATTGATCATATCCATTGTTTGGGTGACAACAAAGAATTCCCCATCGTAGACAAAAGATTAAGATCGAGCCGGTTGTTTCATCTCGGAACCAGGAAATCCACAGCCATGAAATAACTCCCGACGATAACAGACGATGCAACAGCGGAACGAGCCGATCTTAACCACATTCCCCGCGACAAGAGATTCCTGTCCGTCGGGTGAATTCCTGTCCATCTCTCGAATATCTTCCCCGGTCTTTTCCATCTCAGAAACATCCTCTCCTTGGCAATATACTGATCATGAAGAGGAATGAACGGCTTAAAGTTCTCACCTTTCTTGAGCAAGATGACTCATTTTATGGTTAAAGACATGGAAGGGGAATGTTACCTTTGGCAAAACTATACACTGAGCTCGTGTCCTGGCCGTGTCGAAGCTATGAGATGCAACAGCTGCAATGGCACCGGAAAACCCTGCAGCCAGGCTCGTGGCCACCGGAGATAACGGGCCAACTTCTTCGTTGGTGCTGAATTTGGAGGGAAAAAAAAGGTTTAGAAAATGATGAACTCAGTGTACTGCCTTTGATAACTTAAAAGTCTGTATCTTTCTGGGTTTCTAGAATCTAAGAAAGGGAAAGAACATAGTTTTCAGTTTTCAAATGAACCTAACTTGTTCAAGATCACTATGATGAAGATTCAGAAGTGTGGTTTACAGAGCATGAATGAATGAATAATACCTGGGTGGAGGATTCATCCCAACCGCCTTCCAATCGAGCATTGCCTGATGTAAAAACTGCCATGTCGCGAAGAATATTCCTCCGTAAAGGGAATCTCTTACAATACCCGAACGGAGATTCTTCCACAATGCTCTCCATCCTTCCAAAGAGGCCACATCAAACGGCCTCCTAACGTCCAAGACCGACGGTGGGTTCCCTGTTCCAGTCATCATCCATGGGTATTCTTGCAAGGCCGCTGTCATGTTAGGGTGTTTAGGGTTTAGGACAGACAGGAGACCCACTGTCTGGTTCAATGCCCTCAAATCTGGAGTGTAGGTTCTCAGCAATCTCGAAATCACTTGTGGAGTGTGTGCGGTTTCTGCAACGGCAGCGGTATTTGGAGCTCGTGAGGCAGCAGCCACTTGTTCTCGGACTTTGAGCAGCTCGAATGGAGAAGTCATCAGTGTTTCTGCTGCCCCAGCTGCCATTCCAGCTAGGTAGGCCTCGCTGACATTCAAACTGTTATCCTCTCGACCATCTGAGACGAACGAAATTATATAAGAACCTTCTTAACGATTTCAAAAACTACATCGTACGTACAACCAAGTTGATTCAACCATGAAAGTTTCTGAGGAATGCAAGGAAGAAAGAAACTTGGTGAATGAATGGAAAGACATTCTAGCATGTACAAATTTATGAACCAGAAATGCTACTTTGTCTATCCATAGAAGAATCGAGATTGACAAAGAATATGCAAATAACTTGATGAACAATAACAGGATTCTTCAATCGAGCTGCAGAGAAGCAAAATACAATATCTAATCCTCAAAGCATGATACTTTACAGAAAGTAATTTGGACATTGATTCTTCATACCCCTATCATCAAGTGATAGATCGCTGGTAAAATGAAAAAAACAATACCTTTGTAGAAAGCTGTTACAATCTCAAAGACCCCGAAGCGAGCACCCAAACCAGAAATTCTTCCGATGGTTAACCACCCGAGACCACCATATAGACCTGCTTTTGTTCACAAGACATATCGATACAAAAAAGAAGCCATTTTTCCTGATCAGAAACCAGAAAATTACAAACATAACCGGAGAATGAAGAGAGAGGAGAGAAGAATCAGTTCATGTATCATCCACCTGAATTGCCGGAGAAATGAAGAATCCTGTTCACGACTTGAGAAGGGTTCAATTGCTTACCCGGTCCTGAACCCACCTGCGGTTCAACCCAGACAATCAAACTCGCGAACTGCAACTCAACAAACACAGAATCGAAGAACAGAGGATGAGACCGACCTGGGTTATGGTTTTGACGGTGTCGAGAGGGTAAGTGAGTGCCGTTCCTAGCGAGACGGCAGCAGATGCGGCAATGGCATGCGTCGCAAACTGATGATTCTCGAGCAGCTTCTCCATCTTACAGAAAGAAGGCTTCGACGGATCGAAAAATTTCTCCACGTTAGTTTTGTTTGAACGTATGCAACCTGCTCGACGGAATGCTTGAACCAGGACGAAGAGAGTGTATCCGACCCGACAAAGCGAGAACCTTGTAGATACGTATAACCCGAACTTTGAGGGGTCAGAGGTAACAAATACAACTAGAGGGGCAAATTTTGAATTACTTATTAAATTCGGGCTAACTGCGAGATAATTAGTTCGTAAACTTTGTGGCGAGGCCGTTTAGCCCTTGGGATTTAAAAAATCGATTCGGTTCAGGGTTAAAAATAAAGTTAGAGCCAAACAAGGGCTTAAGATGACGTCATATTTCTTTTTGTCGTTTTCTCACCAGAATAGCTGCCGAACTTCTTCCCTCGAACCCTAACGGGGCCGGTCATCTCGATATTAAGACATTGCATGTTTCTAATTATCCTCAGATTCTCTCCGCCGTTTTGTCCGAATCCTTTTCTCCGGTTCGTTCCGTCGAAGATTTCGCGGGAACCGAAGCGCCTGTACCGGAATTTCTCCTGTTTCACCGAACCGACTGCTCGATTCCCTAACCGGTCACAAGCTGCAATACCGAAGGTCGTCTCCGTCTTATTTTTTTCTTTAATGTTTCGTGTTCTTACAATTTCAAACGCGGTAATTTCGATTCTCTTTTGTCGGGTTTTGGTGCAAATTCTTGGTGTTTCGGTGCTTGGTTTTAGATTCTTCGCGTAAATTCTGTGACTTTATTAGGGGAATTTGGTTACTGTTCGGAATTTGGCTTCGTTTCTGCCAAATTTGATAGCTTTTTGTGCTGCTGTTTCCTTGCCTTGTTGATCTCGTGATATGTTAATTCGAGGATCCAGGGTTTTTGTCCGAACTTGGTTGTATTCTGTTGGGAAAAGTCATGTTCTGGGCTATGTATTGCGATTGCTATGGACGAAATCTATCATCAGAACTTTTTTTTTGATAACTTCTCGGAATTGGTGTCGACCATGGGATTTTTTTGTTACTTTTATACAGAATGTTCGAATCAGTAATGTACTTCCTCGGTTCTTTCTTTTGTCTGAATTTGTACTGGTTGTCTTTTGGAGCTCAGATTGTGCAAGCCTCTCAGCTCTGGACATCATAATTAATTCCCTTTCTGGGATTCATTTATTTCCTTGGAAGAAGAATCGGGTTATCGGTAAGAGAAAATGGAAATGGATTTGGAGCCCATAGCTCTCACGCCGCAGAAACAGGACAGCGCGTGGAAGCATTGTGAAGTCTACAAGTACGGGGATCGAGTACAGATGAGGTGTCTCTACTGTCGGAAAATGTTTAAGGGTGGTGGGATAACCAGGGTAAAGGAGCACCTCGCGGGTAAAAAGGGTCAAGGCACCATTTGCGATCAAGTCCCGGAAGATGTTCGCCAATTCTTGCAGCAGTGTCTGGATGGGACTGTGAGACGGCAGAGGAAGAGGCGAAAATCGAGTCCAGAGCCGTTGCCCGTAGCTTATTTCCCTCCTTCCGAGTTGGACGTGTCGGTTGCCCATTCTGACGTGAATAATGGATTCAAGTCGCCAGGTTCAGATGTTGTTGTACCGAACCCGAGCCTGTTGGCTGGCAGAACGAAGCAGAGAACTTACAGGAGTAGGAAGAATGCATTTTCTTCCGCAAATCTTGATGGGTCTGCAGCTAACATTAGTGACCTGATGGCTAGAGATATGGGCAATCTAATTCCCGTGGCTATTAGTAGTGTAAAAAACATTGTTCAACCATCCTCCAAAGACAGGGAGAAGACGATTCATATGGAAATTGGAAGGTTTCTGTTCGACATTGGAGCCGATTTCGATGCGGTGAATTCTGTTAATTTCCAACCAATGATTGATGCAGTTGTCTCTGGAGGATTCGAGATGTCTATCCCCACGCAACATGATCTCCGAGGTTGGATACTGAAGAACTGTGTAGAGGAAACGAAGAAGGATATTGATGAAAGCAGGCCACTGTGGAAGAGGACAGGATGTTCCATTTTGGTTGAGCAATTGGACTCCGGAAATGGCCCAAAAATCCTCAACTTTTTGGTGTACTGCCCAGAAAAAGTTGTGTTTTTGAAGTCTGTGGATGCGTCTGAGATTATAACTTCTGCTGATAAATTATACGAGCTTCTTAAGGAGGTGGTAGAAGAAATTGGGGAAACCAATGTCGTTCAAGTGATTACGAAACATGAAGATCACTATGTCGCAGCTGGGAAGATGTTGATGGATGCATATCCTTCTATTTATTGGGTTCCTTGTGCTGCTCATTGCATAGATAGGATGCTCGAGGATGTTGGGAAGGTTGAGTGGATAAGCGATATAATCGAACAGGCTCGATCTATCACAAGATATATTTACAACCATAGCGGTGTTTTGAATCTGATGTGGAGATTTACTTCCGGTAATGATATCGTGCGACCAGCATGTGGCCGTTCCGCCACAAATTTTGCGACTTTGGGAAGGATAGCCGATCTAAAACCGAGTTTGCAGGCTATGGTTATTTCACCAGAGTGGAACGATTGTTCTTATTCGAAGGAAGCAGGTGGATTGGCAATGACTGATACTATAAACGATGAAGCCTTCTGGAAGGCGGTTATGCTATTAAACCAATTAACGGATCCTCTTTTGCGAGTTGTGAGGATAGCTTTTTCTGAAAAGAGGCCTGCAATGGGGTATGTCTATGCAGCACTGTACCGGGCAAAGGAAGCAATTAAGAACCTATTTGTTAAGAGAGAGGATTACATAGTTTACTGGAAAATTATAGATAGCAGGTGGGATCAGCAAAGGCTTCTTCCTTTGCATGCTGCCGGTTTCTTTTTTAACCCCAAGTTCTTCTATAACACCGCTGAAGAAATGCGTAGCGAGATCCTTTCTGCAGCAGTATTTGATTGCATCGAGAGGTTAGTCCCTGATGTCACCATCCAAGATAAAATCATCAAGGAGATAACCTCGTACAAGAACGCTGTCGGAGTTTTTGGAAGGAATATGGCGATTAGAGCTCGGGACACAATGCTTCCCGGTATGATGAGTATGATCATTTTGTTAGTTCTTTCCATGTTTTCTCATTATATTCTGGTTAATGGATTTGATCAAAGTCATGTCTGCCCATTACTCGGGACTGTCTCTGTGAATCGACACTTGCATCTCCATCTTCTACCGAGCCGTCTCTCCCTCGGGATTTTTTACATCGTTTTGTAAAGTTGACACTCTCTTCTCATGCTTGGTTGGTTCTCAGCTGAATGGTGGTCTACGTACGGAGAAAGCTGCTTGAATCTCTCACGTTTTGCAGTACGTATTCTTAGCCAGACTTGCAGTTCATCATTCGGATGTAGGAGAGACCTAATACCGATGGAAAAGATTTACCAATCAAAGAACTGCCTCGAGCAACAACGGCTGAGCGACCTCGTGTTTGTCCAATACAACATGCGTCTCAGACGCTGGTAAGTCGAAAGCATTGCCCGTTTTAAAACGAAATTCTATATTCGTTTCGTTTCGATGATGGATTTCTCCGTCTCTTCTTGCAGGGATCACGAAAGCAGAGACGATTCAGCAGACCCATTATCACACAACAACATGGATGTTCTTGAAGAATGGCTTTCGAAAAACCAAGCTTGTGTAGAAGGGAATGGAAGCTCGGACTGGAAATCACTCGAGTTGGGTAAGAGGTCTCAAGTAGCAGCCATTGTTGATGAAGCTGAAGATTTGGGCACAGGTAAAAAAGAAAAAAAGTTTTCTGGTGTTCTTACATAGTAATCAGACCAATTTACCAAAAAAAAAAAACCGGAACATGAGAAAAAAAAGCTTACAAATGTAACAGGTTTTGATGATGCTGAGATTTTCAAGGAGGAAAAGGAAGTTGGAGAGGAAGGTTATTACACAAACATATAGGAGGCCTCTTTTGTTCTTCTCAGTCAGTCATAGGTTCATTGGATATATATATATATATTCTCTTCCTCTTAGGTTTGATTTGTATTATAAGAGTTTGCTTCCATAGTTTGTTGTCTTATACATGTGTGTCTTCACTAGGATTGTTAGACCATGACCCCAAAAAAAAAAAATTCAGAATTTCATCACATCTCTAATGTGATTTGTTTGTTCTTAGTAAGGTTATGTCCAGATCTGTAGTTGTTTGGCGAATACCCTTTTCTTTTTCAACTTGTCTGGAAATGCTTTGTTCTTTTTTTTTTTCATTTAATTTCCATATAATATAATCTTTTTGAAGTTTGGGTTTCCTTCCTTTTTTTTAAAAGTTTTGATTTTTATGCATAAATTTAGGGATCTTTTCATTTTCATTATATTTCCATGTCACTTAGATTCGCCATACGAGGTATAAAAATAATATTTAATGCATTTGACGCACTGTTCTAATAAATAATATTAATAATATTTATGTAAGAAAATTTAAAAAAAAAATTGAAAATGTGGTTTTAAAAAGATATGAGTTGTGATCAAAGTACCCAATAAAAAGAATTTGCAAGAGATTGATAAAAATGACCAAACAATTACATTTTTTTTAGAAAATCTATAAAATTATCCGGGTATCCGCGTGGATAATTGTTTTAAGAAATTATATTATTTGGATTCGGATTCAGATTCTTATTATGAGTATTAGCGGGTTTGGGTTCGAATCCGTGTATATTCGATTTTCGGGTAATTTTGACCCGCCCAATAAACCTTACCTTACCTTATCTGCTTCTCAGCCTCTCCTTCACACGGTTACAAAGAAAGATTCTTAAAAAAAAAAAAACCCCATTAAGGTTTTTGTCGGAAGACGAAGAAGAAAGGGCAAAACAGGAGATGGATGCCCTAAACCAAATAGGAGTGCCAGTTCTTGGTATCATTGCAGCCGCCGCTGTCACTTTCTACGCCGTCAGCTTCTCCGAGCTCCGAGAGGTTCTCTTACATCAGAAACATCATCATCATCATCATCATTATTTATTATTATTATTATTAACCCAGCTCTTCTTATTCAAAAACAAATCTCAAATTCAAAAAAAAAAACGATTCAGGGTTTTGATTCAGTTGTCTGTGTCTAAACTGAGTATGAAAGTGTTTTTTTTTTGTTTTTTTTTTCTGCAGAGATCATTCAGAGACATGGAAGAATCAGAGAATGAGGAGAAAGGATTCAAGACGTCGATGAGTTCAAGGGAGAGAAGGGCAAAGAGACGAGCAGACAAACAACGTCCCCGACAATAAATTAACCAAAAATAAAAATCCCAGTTCTGTAATAATAAATTCCATAATAATATGATTTTTGTAACATTTTTTTTAATGTTTAGAAAGCTAAAAGATGGCATTGTTCTGTATTTAGATCAAGGTACAATGAGAAATCGAGATTTCTCTTACCAAATGCGATGATGGAACCATTTCTTCGTGGCTAAAACTCAATTGCCTATAAGGCCGATAGAGGGGAAAAAAAAAGAATTTATGGTTATTTATACGGCCATGCATGCATGAATCGAAGCTTAATTAGATAAATTGACAGACCATGAGAAAGCGCAACCGAACTTGAGACCATGTTCAAAGGATGTTTGATATATTTATGCAAAGGATGAATGCACTTGTACCTGTTATGTCCTTTTTTTACATGGTTTTTTTTTCTTTTCTGAAATCTGTTTCTTGCACCTTAATTAATATGGAATTGAATCTGACATATTTTGGCCAAACGAAGGAATTTATAATCAGATTCATACAATCTTGTTTGATAAAAATATGATTAAAAGTCATAAGATGCAATTCATTGATCAAAACAAGTAAAAAAATGCAGAGCCATTTCCAAATTTCATGTCTATATAATAAACATGCCCCACATTCATGTATGAAACTGAAACTCAAACTCAAACTCAACTATGGTTTCCCTTAGTTTCCTCACCCTCTCCTCTCTCCTCCTTCTTTGCTTATCCTCGGCTTCTGCAACTGTCGAGGATGATCGAAAGGCGAGTTTCCCTTTGTCTTTTTCCCGATATTTTCGATCCGAAAAACCTTTTTTTCCTTCTTCAAAGGATTATAACAGTGGTGATAACGATACTTGCAGGCGTACATCGTCTATATGGGAGCTCTCCCTTCTGACAGTCAATATTCAGCTACGTCTCACCATCAACACATCCTTCAACAAGTTACCAGGTTAAGTATCCTCAAGTTTCGATGTTATATCGCTTTTCCGTTTACGTTTTCGGCGTTATTGATCAATCTTTACTTCATTTTTTTTTGCAGTTCTGTTGAAAACTCATTGGTCAGAAACTACGGAAGGAGTTTCAATGGCTTTGAGGCGAAGCTGACTGAATCCGAAAGAGAGAAGCTTTCTGGTGAGTTTTCAGACACATTTTTCATCAAGAATTCGTGTTTTTGTATTGTATTCTTCGATTTTTCTCACCGTTTTTCTGAATCTAAACGAACATTCGCAGCCATGGAAGGAGTAGTCTCAATATTTCCGAGCAAGAAGTTAGATCTTCATACGACGAGATCTTGGGATTTCATGGGGTTTGGCGATGAATTCAAACATAACCCCGAGGCCGAGAGTGATATTGTCGTCGGGGTTATCGACGGTGGGATATGGCCCGAGTCCAAGAGCTTTTCAGACAAAGGCCTCAGCCCTCCCCCCGCAAAATGGAAGGGCGTTTGCAAAGGAGGATCGAACTTCACCTGTAACAAGTAAAGCACTCTTTCAAACCCTAAATTCATAACCTTTCTTGATTCATACGATAACCCGAAACCGCCTTTTGTTGACCACCAATGCAGCAAGTTGATCGGAGCGAGGTTTTACGTCAGTGAATCAGCTCGGGACTTCAAAGGTCACGGAACACACACTTCTTCAATTGCTGTAGGGAGCAAAGTAGAAGGCACAAGCTTCTACGGGATAGCAAACGGAACGGCGAGGGGAGGTGTCCCTTCGGCCAGAATCGCTATGTACAAAGTCTGCACCGGTCCAATGTGTGATACTGGAGCGATCTTGGCGGCTTTTGACGATGCTATAGCTGACGGCGTCGACGTTATTACCATTTCCATGGGAGGATCCCCTGCTCCTTTGGAATCTGACCCGATCTCTATCGCGGCTTTTCACGCAATGGAGAAAGGTATTTTGACCGTAAACTCGGCGGGAAATACCGGCCAGAGGCAAGAATCGACCGGTAGTACCTCTCCGTGGGTTCTAACCGTCGCAGCGAGTACAACGGATCGTAAATTTGTCACCAAGGTTGCCCTTGGAAATGGCAAAGAACTATCTGTAAGTTTTCAGTTCATATATATTTGAGGCTTGAAGCTTATGTTGTCAACTCAACCGTTGCGATCGGTCTAACAGGGAACTTCGATCAACAGTTTCAAACTAAACGGAACAAATTTTCCGTTCTCTTACGGAAAATCCGGTTCGAGATCTTGCAGCGAGGAAGATGCCAGGTAGAAAACTCCCCCTGTTTTGAATGGCTAAGAACACGAAACCCCTGAATCTTATATCGAGATTTTGCGGCGAATTTCCACAGGAGATGCAAACCGGGATGCATCGATCTGTCACTGGTTGGAAAGATTCTGGTGTGCGATGAGTCGCTCCTAGGAACCGACCTCATATCTTCTAAAGCTATCGGAGCCATCATTCAGGGAAAAGTTTCACATCCTGTTATTAACAGAAGAATTCCCGTCGCATTCGTGCTTCAAGATCAGTACTCATTGCTTCTATCTTACATCAATTCGACAACGTAAGATCCTTTTTCGTTGTCTCGTAAACCCGAAAATTTCCATTTTCTCAAGTTGTTTATATTGTCGATTTGTCTGACAGGAAACCAGAAGGAACTATACTGAAAACTGAGACGACAAACGGTGCCGATGCTCCTGTTATTGCCCCTTTCTCTTCTCGTGGTCCGAACACTATATTAGGTGATATCTTGAAGGTAAAAAATACGTCAAAAGTTTCCGACCCCTGATCAAAATCATACACGCGTTTCCTTGAAGAGCTCCATCTGGGAATATGACGTTGAAAACGTGATTGCAGCCCGATATAATGGCTCCAGGAGTGAATATACTCGCGGCTTATTCGCCTTTTGCTCCCCTGGTATCCACAGACGACGATGGACGGCGTTCCTCGTACAATTTCTTGTCCGGAACATCCATGTCTTGTCCTCACGTAGCTGGCGTCGCGGCTTATCTCAAGACCGTCTACCCGAAATGGTCCCCGTCCGCTATCCAATCCGCGATCATGACAACTGGTAAGTAACTAAACCCGAAACATTTCGATCTCTATACGTTCGATTTTCAGATAACCTTGACCTAAGTTTTAAGGTATATTTTTTTTGCAGCTTGGCCGATGAACGCTTCGATCAGCGAAGACGCGAACGAATTCGCGTACGGATCGGGACATCTGAACCCGACAAAGGCAGCGGATCCGGGACTTGTCTACGAAACAACGGGAGATGACTACTTAAAGATGCTTTGTTCGGCGAATTACACTGCCATCCAGCTTAAAGTCATCGCGGGAAGAGCCGTGAGTTGTCCGAAAGGACTGAACTTGATGATTAAAGATCTCAACTACCCCTCGATGAGCGCTAGATTCAATTCGTCATCAAAGCCTTCGGAAATCACGTTTTCGAGAACTGTAACCAATGTCGGGCCGGCAAGCTCGACGTACAAGGCGAAAGTGGTATCTGCTGCTTCGGATCTAAAGGTCGAGATCGAGCCCAACACCCTGTCTTTTAAATCGGTCGGCGAGAAAAAGCCGTTCACTGTTAAGGTTTCGGGGATTAGTTCGGCGGATTTCCAGTCGGCAACTCTGGTCTGGTCGGACGGTTCTCGTACTGTCAGAAGTCCCATTGTCATATCTTCTTAGTGTGAGAGTTTATGAATGTGGTTTCGGATGGACAACCATGAGAGGAATAAAATATTGCAAGAGACTTGAATTTATTCATATATAATAGAGAAAATTATATTTTACTACTCGCACGGTTTAAAATGTGATTTTTTTACTGAACTTTTAATTTGACAAAAAAATATATCAAATTATCAAATATACCAAATTAATTCACGAACTATTCAATTTAACTGCAATTTTTTACACAATCCGAATTTGGTGTTAAATGTCCGTTAACTAATGACATGGCACGCCACGTGGCATCTGACATTACACGCCACAGAAAATTTTGCCATACCACGTCAGATTTTTTTTTAAAAAATCCGAAAAAATCTTAAAAAATGATTGTCCAGCCCCGTTTTATTATCCCGTCACGTAGAACGATTGTAAGAGACTGCATGAATTTGTTTTTCGAAGAGAGGATGAAGTTGCATAAGTTTTTCAAGGGATTCAAAGGAAGTGTTTCTCTAACGACGGATACTTGGACATCTGTCCAAAACATCAATTATATGAGTTTGACAGCTCATTATATTGATGATGATTGGAAGTTGAGGAAAAAGATCATAAACTTTTGTCCTATCCCTAATCATGCGGGTGAAACCATAGGAAAGTTTGTTGAGCATTGTTTAGTTCAATGGGGAATTGAAAGAGTTTTGACAGTGACGGTTGATAATGCAAGTTCAAATGATGTGGGAATCAAATACTTGCAGAGACAGTTTAAAAAAAGATAGGGGTGGGCACGGATCGGATATCCGGATTTTTTCACAAATTTGTATCCGTATCCGATCCGTACAAATATTAAATTTCATTATCCGTATCCGATCCGAACTTTTCGGATATTCGTAATTTCAAATATCCGTAAAAAACACGGATATTTGCAAATATCCGTATTCGTATTAGTATTTAACATAAAAAAATAAATTAAAAAACTCAAACACAACTTTGCATTCAATGGAGGAACCTGACAAAAGTTTCCATCAAACAATTTACCAAAAAAAAGTTCGTTCATTGCTCAGATTCTTTGAACAACAATGAAAAACTTCATGTCGTGTTCAATATAATCTTCTCTTGAAATTGAATTAATTTAGTCTTAATTCAAAGAGTTTGGATGTTTCTCTAGAAACCTCAAAATTCAAACAGAAAACAAACAGAATCTGCGTACCACAATCTGAATAGGAATTTCTCTAAGGAAATAGATGACGAACATTCATTTACGGAAAGCCAATTGCAGAAAAAATCACTAAAGAAAATAGCTCACAGTCTGAATCGCAAGAAACTGCAATTTGAATATGACTTCATGATTGGAGAATGTTGTACCTTTATATCCAAATATATGCGATAGGAAGAACGAGTTTTTAAACCAGGACTCTTCGATGTGGACACTGGAATATGCTTTCTTCAATAGGCCGATTCGGTTGGTCAGTTTGCGGATCTTGTCACTTGAACTTGTGAATCTTCATTTTCTGTCCTAACGTGTTATCAATATATATATATATATACACCGAAGAACGTGAAAGATCTAATTAGAAAAAATGTTGAGATCTACGGTAGACCAACAAAAATGGGGGAGGAAGGCGCAGAATGACCTGCGGCGAGTTGAAGAAAAACCCTAACATTTTTTTGTTATTTGCAAAGTTACCCTTATATATAAATTAATTGCCAAATTAACCATATATTATTAAAATTACTAAAAAGTACGGATCGGATCGGATATGTCGAATAATTTTATTTTGATATCCGTATCCGATCCGTATCCGACAAATATTTGAAAACCAATATCCGTATCCGATCCGTGAACTCCGGATATCCGAATTTTCGGATCGAATACGGATCGAATAACGGATCGGATCGGTTTTTTCGAATAATATGTCCACCCCTACATATACACATACATATATATACATATATACATATATACATATGTATGTTTATATTTGTATTTGTATATAGATATATATATATATATATATGTATATATGTGTATTTTTTTTACTTTTTTTTTTTTTATTTTTTTCAGTTTTTTTATTCGGATTTTTTGTTTTGTTTTTTATCTGTTTTTTATTTTTATTTTTTTTGTAATTTTTCAGATTTTTTATATTTTTTTAAATTCTGACGTGGCATGCTGACATGGCAAAATTTCCCATGTGGCGTGCCATGTCAGACGCCATGTAGCGTACCACGTCATCGGTTAACGAACATTTAACACCGTTTTCGGATTGTGTAGGAAATTGCAGTTAAATTGGCTAGTTCGTATATCAATTTGGTACATTTGATAATTTGGTGTAGTTTTTTGTCAAATTAAAAGTTCGTGTAGGAAAAAATCACATTTTAAACAATTCGTATAGGAAAATGTCATTTTCCCTATATAATATAATCTACAGACAGGAGTAAGGAGGAGGAAGAAAATAAAAATGGAAATAAAATTACAAGAAAATAGAAACAAAATAAAATGACAACGATACATGAAAACAAAAAGGAAAGTAATTTAGATTATCTCCAAATGCAAAGGATATATTAAGGGATTTGAATGGCATAATGAATCATATGGATTACGTGGCTCATTCCTTGTAACATGGGCATGTCCATTTCTTCATGAATCATATACGTGGACGTTGCATGTGTGTGGGGGCTTCATGGTCCGTGTGTTGTGTCCACTTACGTCCATACAGATTTGATGAGGCATGCGGGGCACTACCCCGGAGCGTCCGGGCTGTTATAGGGTGGATACAGATCAGATATACGGATTTTTACAGATATCCTGTCTTTGTCGGTTTTACATGACAATCAACGAAAATTCGGGGTGGAGTGCACCAAACCCCTTTGTACGACAGACCGAGCGAGCTTTCACCGCTAAATCCAGTTGTGGTGGATTCGGAAGGAGGATAGACCACGTTCGAGATTTCCTCGTCAACTGATGCTCCGACTGACACATCCCTCATGGTCCGTCTATGCTGTTTCTGACAGTGCATATGCCCCGTTTCTTAGGACACATATGGTTCCTTGGACAATCATGTCTCCCATTAATGCCAACATTGTTCAAGAAGAATTTGCTTCTATCAAGTGTCTCTCAACCAGTGATATCAAAATGGAATTTGCTTGCCAATCAACCCATATTTTTTGATCTGGTCTCAGAAAATTTGAGTTCGAATAAAAAATAGATCAAACAATCCAATTTGCCACGAGCCGAACTCTCGTGAACCACCACCTTGGCAAATCCACGAGTTTGCTCACAAACGAGAATTTTTTAAATTTTTTGTTTTTAATATTTTATTATTTTTAATACTTTTTATTTTTATTTTTATTTGGCTCGGGCGTCAACTCGCGAATCAGGACGATCTGAATCGAGTCAGGATTTTTTTACTCGTTAAAAACGGACTACAGTGAGGTGGACTCAAAACTGGTTGGTTCAGGACAATCTGAGCCGAGCTGCACCGAGCAAGTCCGTTTTACATCGCTAATCTCGGGTCATGCTACTAATCAACCGATCGTTCTTACATTACAAAATAGGAACCACTCTATCATGTGCGTTGTACCATGTCATGCGATTCAAACATGTTATGGACGTCGTCGTAAATGTTTTTCGATCCATTCAACATCATATGACAAATGATCTTAGAGTTTACATACCAAATGGCTCGGTTATCTCTATTATTTCAGCTTTGGTTATCAAAACCAATTCTGGTTCAGCGGTTTTAATTTGGTCATTTGTAACTTCGACACCTATCATTTTGTTTTGAATTTGTTAGGTTGTTGTAAATTAGTTTTGCATTAGATTCCTTTTTATCTGTATATAAATGATGTAAAGGAGACGCTTAATAATCAATGGAGAAAGAAATTTTTTTTCAACAAAGTTTCCATTCCTATTTCTGGTTTCCATATGGTATGAGAGAGCCAATAAGCTTTCTGCTTACTCTGATTTTTCTTTTCCCGGTTTCTTTCGTTCCTTTATGGCGACTACTACTTCACCGGGTTCTGAGGATTCTATTCCCAGCCGTACTCTTGTTGGCTCTGCTCCATCGAGTTCTTCGATTTCTCGAGATCCTTATTCTGATCCCCCTTTTTTTACATGCTGCAGATTCATCCAGTGTTTTTCTGGTTTCGGAAAAACTTCGGGCCGAGGCCAACTATGGTGTCTCGTCGCGCGATGTTCGCAAAGCCCTCTTGGCTAAGAATAAACTTGGGTTTATTCTCGGTACTCTGCCGCAACTAGGGGTGGGCATTTTTACCCGAGACCCGCGGGTTTCCGGGTACCCTATCTCGCGGGTACCCGGTTTATATGGTTTTACGAGATAACGAGATACAAGCCGGGTTTTTATTTTATAAAACCCGAGTTTCGGGTTTCGGGTTCGGGTTTTGATATTTCTACACGGGTTATCTCACGGGTACCCGAAAATATAAAAAATTACAAAAATACCCCTTATGTTTAACATATTTGCAAAACTACCTATTCCTAAACAACCCTAACCCTAATTACTCTTCTCTCATCTCTCTCACTCAGACTCTCACGCTCTCGCCGCTCAGTCTCTCTCACGTCCGGTCTCTCTCCTCTCGACTCTCGCCGTCGCGAGTCTCTCGGCGTGCTCTCGGCCTCTCTCTCTCGGCGTGCTCTCGGCCTCTCCCTCTCGGCGTGCTCTCGACTTCTCTCTCTCGGCGTGCTGTCGGTCTCGGGTTCATCCACCTCCTTCTCTCTCTCGGTAAGAGCTTCTCCCTCGCCTTACGCTTCTATCTTCTCCCTCGTCGCGAGCCTCTAGTCTCTGATGACTGTAGCGGCGTACTCTCTCTCTCAGTTCGGCATCTGCCTTGCACTCGGTCTCGGTCTCTCTCTCTCTCGGCTGAGCCGTCTCTGCCATACTCTGCCTCGATTTGTTCTCTGCCCTGTTGTCCTCGAGGTAAATGTTCTTCCTCTCTGTTCCTCTGTATTCGACGATGTTCGGCAATGTTGGTTTAACTTTATCCGTGTTCAATTGTTGCTCTTTTGTTA